TTGGATAAAATATTTGATTAATTTATAATGCTAGGGCAATGCTAAAATATTTCAAAATGTTTGATATTGGACTCAAGCGTAACGATTTTCTTTCGGCGCATCGGGTATGTTGATTTAACGTTTTCATATTGGGTTTTATATTCGTGTGTCCCTCCATTAAAATTAGTCTAAATGATCAGCACCATCATGAACTTAATCTTTTCCTTTGCACAGGAAATCATCGGACTATTGGATGGGTACTGTGTCTACAGAGCCCTAAAAGAGATTGCTATATGTACTATCAAAGGTAAAGTACAATTATCGGGTGCGATGATGGTTTTATACTTTCGTGTTATGGGTTTGGGAAAGTATTATGTTTTTGGAAAAATCAGAAAGGCTGACATGGTGACATATTAGAAACTCTCATTGAAAAAATTGTTTGGTAGTGATTCTTTTTTTTTTTCTTTATATTGAGAAATTAAATTGATTACGGATTGTGCTTGATGTCCAGAATGATGATGTCAAATATGAGAAAGGAAATGCAGATTTGGTTCCCATGCTTTGACAGATGTTTTGCACACTAGACAAATAGGATGATTTTACAGAATTTAGTGAAGAAGGGTGACGAGTCCAGATCCATCACCTTCGACGGGCCGGCCCACTACTTGGCTTTAGGGTCAAGACCGCCCCGGATATGGCGGTTTATTATTACTAACCCTAGTAATAATCGGATTCCTCCAAAGTCTATAAATAGGGACCTTTATTCCACACTAAAGGTACGCAATCTTGACTATCATATCAATACAGACATAACCCTATTTTCTGACTTAGGCTTCGGAGTGTCTACCCTCGGGAGACGCCCGAGGCTCTGTTTTGCAGGAAACCCTAGTCGGAGTTCCACCCTACACCGGCGGTACAATTCCAGGTATCGTCAAGTGGCACGCCCGGTGGGACCCGAAAACTAGGGTTTGTGTCACTAAGCTTTCTCAAGCTTTTTCGAAGCCTTTCAATCTGCTTCCAGCACCTCCAGAACAGGATCGGTGGAAAGAAAGATGGTGGAAGTTGACAGTCCCCAATCCAGTGCTGCGTCAACCGGAAGACAGACAAGCCCTAAGGACGGCGAAACTCTGGCACACTTCCAATGGAGGCAGAAACGGAAAAGGAATGATCGCCAAACCAAGAAAGAAACCACTCCTGTCAAACCAACCGATCAGAATCGTCACCGCGAAAACCCCGATCCATACCAGAAACAGTGGTTGGCCGAGATCGAAGCGGAACTAAAAAAGTTGAAGGATGATAACTCCGTCAACCAAAGGAAAAAGAAATATATCCTCGAGGAATACAAACGCTGCTGCTTGTTAGGTCTTCCTGACCCAACAAAACAAGAGATGGAGGAGTTAATTGAGGAAAAAGAAGCAAGGAGGACCCTGGATCTCCTCGAGATCAGAAGAGGCAAACGTCCGGCCCCAAACGAAGGGGAGGAAAGAACTCGCAAAAAAACCCCCTATTGAGAAGTTTCTCGCGCTGAACCTTCTGAAACCCCCGGTGATACTTTCTGGGAAGCACTCAAAAGGACAAACCCGGTAGTTTATCAGGCAATTCAGCAATTTGCACTGGAGCACGAACAGAAGAGACAATTTCGTAGGCAAGATCGCCGACAATCACCTAGTGTCGAGGAATTGTCTAAAAGAGAGTGGGAACCCCCGAAAAACAATGTCCACTCTCGATTGGGACCAAAAGGGACGCAGGAAAAATCGCGGCATGGCCATCGTCGAGGAGAAGACCCTCCTCCTCGGGATCAAGATAATCGGGGCAATCAGGATCCCTCAATTCGAGGCTCGATGCGGAGGATGATAGGAATGATCGTTGACAGAAGTCCTTTCATCCCCAGGATTTGAGAGTGTCCGAAACCTAAAGATTTTGACTTCCCCAAAGACTTCACCTGTTACACAGGGGATTCTGATCCGCAGCGATTTCTCAATAAATACGTGCAAGTCATGAGAATTCGTAACGCATCTCTAGACTTCATGGCAAAGGCTTTACCATCATTCCTCGATGGACAGGCACAACGTTGGTTTGGACAGTTGCCAGAGGGAAGCATTGACAGCTTTGAGGATCTCACAGTAAAGCTAGCCACCAGGTTTTTCCTCAGCAAGCAAGTCACAAAAATGTCCATTGACCTATCCTCCATAAGACAAGGACACAACGAGAGCCTTTCAGATTTCCATCGTTGCTTCACCCGTGAATCTCTCCAAATTGACAATCTCGATAACAGAGACATAAGGAATAGCTTCATCCAAGGACTCAACCCCTGGGGGAAGTCCGCCCCCCTACGAGTAAAGTTAATCACTAAACCTCCACAGAACACCCAAGAGATGTGGGCCACGGTAGAAAGTTATATCCAACGGGAACAAACGCTAAAAAATTCCCAGGAGTCTTTCTCACTCGCAGGGGAGCGAGGAGGAAAGGACAGATATAAATCTCAGACTGAGAACAAACCCTCGTGGCCCAGGCTCGACAGGTTACTGACTCCATTGATAAAGCCTCGACGGGAAATACTCCAGATTCATAAGGACGAGTTTCCAACCCCGAAGCCACTGACTCATAACCCGAATAGGTCCATGAATCAGTATTGCGAGTACCACAAGGACCACGGACATGACACGGAGGATTGTCGAGAGCTCAAGCGAGAAATTGAAGCAGGAGTGAAGTCCGGTAAATTCCAACAATATGTGCAGAGCACACAAGGCACCGCTCGAGGAGATACCCGCAGTTCTCGAGAAAAACTCGGCGCTTCTCGCAACTTTCCCAGGCGAAACAACAATCGAGGTTCTCGTAGAGACAACCGAGGAAATAATTGGCAACCGAGGGATAACTCAGAATATCCTGCCCAACCAGCTCTCGATAACAAACCGCAACCAATACAGCAAATACCTCCTCTTGATCCCACCAAGCAGATTACCCACAATGTTGGAGCAATTTATGGAGCACCTCTCGAAGTCCTCTCAAGCACGGCATTAAAGTCCTCTGTTCGACAAGTAACAAAAACCCCATCACAAGAGCCAAGTCACAAGCGGTTTAAAGGAACCGAAGCAATCGTCTTCACTGATAGTGACGTCGTCCCTGGCGTGTGTCCCCACAGCGATGCCATGGTTATCGAGGTCATCATAGGTAACGTGGGGGTAAGTCGCGTGTACATCAACAATGGCAGCGCGGTCGACATCATCTACAGTGATTGTTTCAAGAGAATGAATATACAAAATCCAGACTGACGCCCTGCTACCTTACCATTGATGGGCTTCTCCGGGCACACGATAATCCCAAGCGGGATCGTTAGGCTTCCAATCACGGTAGGGACGTATCCTCGAATGGTAAATCTAACAATGGATTTCGCCATAATCGATGCTCCCTCGCCATTCAATGTGATTCTAGGACGGCCGTGGATGTGCAAAGCCCGCGCTGTATGGTCACCTTATCACTTAGTTATGAAATTCCCAACGGAATACGGGATAAGAATAGTCCAAGGCTGCCAACGCAGCTCTCGAGAATGTCTTCTCACGGCAGTAAAGATAGGGAAGAAAGCAGTAACGCCGGAGCTAGCCGTCACCACATCAGGATGCTACTCAATTCAGCAAGGTGTGACGAGGATTGAAGATAAAGAGAGGAAACAAGAGGTCTCGAGCACGGATATTGAGCAAAACCCGCCACTCAGCAGCAAGACAGAAGAGTTGATCTTAGATGAGAAAGAGCCAGAAAAAACTATCAAACTAGTGATATCCATCGGGGAAGCGTTGCGGAGTGAAATAATTGCCTTGTTGCGTACCTTTCGGGACATCTTCGCGTGGTCGCCATCCGATATGCCCGGAGTTCCTCGACACATTATCGAGCACAAGCTAAATGTGGATCCAAACGTCAGACCGGTCAAGCAAAAGAAGAGGATTTTTGCTAGAGATCGAAATGACGTGATTAACGAGGAAACCCTCAAGCTGGTTCGAGCCAATATCCTGAAAGAGGTGCTTTGGCCAACCTGGCTGGCCAACCCAGTCCTTGTCCGCAAACCTGACAATTCCTGGCGTATGTGCCAAGATTACACTGATCTAAACAAATACTGCCCAAAAGACTACTACCCCTTGCCCGTAATTGACCGAATGGTGGAAGGTATTACTGGTTACAGGACTCTCAGCTTCCTCGATGCGTATAAAGGATACCATCAGATTCATATGGCCGAGGAGGACGCCGAGAAAACGGCTTATATCATGGAGATTGGAGCATACTGTTACGACAAAATGCCGTTTGGGCTGAAAAATGCTGGGGCCACCTACCAGCGTTTGGTTAATAGGGCCTTCCATAATCAAATAGGGAGGAACATTGAGATATACGTGGATGACATGGTTATCAAGAGCAACTCGGATTGCAAAGTGGTCGAGGACATACAGGAGATCTTTACGATCCTGCGCAAAATTAACATGAAACTCAATCCAAAAAAGTGCTCTTTCTGTGTAGGTTCTGGGAAGTTTCTCGGATTTCAAGGCATAGATCCTTCAAAAGTCGAAGCAATTCTTTCGATGGAAGCCCCGAAAACTGTCAAGGATGTACAGAAACTCACAGGATCTCTAGCAGCACTTAACAGGTTTCAATCTCGAGCAGCGGAGAGAAGCCTCCCCTTTTTTAAAACTCAAGAAAAGAGAGGGGTTTCCAATGGACCGATGAATGTCAAAAAGCCTTCCAAGAGTTAAAAAAACATTCTCGAGTATAAATAACTGGCGCTAACACAGCTTAGCCCAAGTACAATTCCCTCGCACCAAGTGCAGGGTATAAAAAAAAAAGAAAAAAAAAGAGATATACAACGCATCTGCCTAAATCCGGAGGTCCTTCCCCTTCGGGTTAAAACGAGAGGGCTTAATAAGGCCGGACCATCCCATCGACCTAAGTTTATGGACACAGTGCCCAAGCTTATCCTTTAAATCTAGAATCTCCCAGTTTTGATCATCGATTCTAAGAAGATATTCCTCGGCGGCAGCTCACTCCCGAGCTTTGCCCTCCAGATCAAGGTCGTCAAGAATGGGCAAGGAAATCTCGTTGTCCACTAGTATATTCTGCAGAATGGCAGCTTGCTTCGAATAGAACTCCACCTCCTTGGTTCTTTTCTTCAGGAGGTCGATGGCGGCGATAAAACGTTCAGTACGGATCTTTATCTGCGACTCGACCAAGGCAAGTGTGTCGAGCTTTTCGAGAAACCATGGAGAAATAACGATCTTCTCGCGCCTCCTCAGTTGAGAGTTTTCCGACTTCAGTTTTTCCATCTCCTCGTAAATGTTCGCTTCGAGGGATAAAGAAGCATGGAAGTCCAAGTCGTATTGGTGAAGTCGGCGCTTCCACTCTTCCTCTTGCTGCTTGAAGCGTTGTACCAAGCGGTGATGTGTCCGTAGATTCAGCGCGTTAAAAGCATCTGAAAGTTCTTTCTCGAGAGACTTCACCTTGCTAGTATTATAGACGTCCCCGGATTTCCTCAGAATTGAGGAAATCATCGCATACAAGGGAAACTGAGCAACCTCCTCTTCCTCGAGAATCAGTAGAGTAAATGATGAACAAAGTATGAATCCTGGAATAAGCGACAAAAATATTAAAGGTAAGCCAACTTAATCGGCAAAAGGGTTCAAAGATCCATACAAATTTTCTAAGGTCTACAACCTTAGCCACAAAAATCCTATTACAAAGAAGAGACTCATACTTCCTTCTGGCCCTGCGACTGTGTCGGCTGGTTCTCGTTGGTTTCCTCGACAGGAGGAGGGACTGACGTTCCTTCTGGTTCGGGATTGCTTTGTCCATCGTCCTCGGCTTGCCCCTCCGAAGAGTCCTCTTCCCATTCCACCTCGACGCCAATGAAGTCGGGAGCCAATTCTGGCACGCGCACCTCTTCCCCGGCGTCATCAGGAAGCACCGTGAGAACCTCCCCCTCGAAGGATGAGATCTCCGTCGAGGATTTCATCTCAAGAACAGCGCCACACAGTGGCCCAAATAGAGGAAGTTGGCCGTCGGAAAGTTGTTGCACTCCTTTCTTGAGGGCTTCATGAAGTGTCTTCTTGGGATGCGGCCTTATAAACTGCTAAAGCCATCCAGCGTTGATGGTCTTCCCACTCTCCATCCTTTCAAGGGCAGCAACTGCCACACCATGTCCCCCCAGAACCTTGGCCTCATTACTAATGCCCACCAGTATACTCGCCAGCCCATCCGTGGACATCATCCTCGCCCAAAAATTCATTATACAGGCCGGTAACTCGGATCGGGGAACATGAGTTTCCCTGTACTCAGACAACTTGGCCTCAAGCTCCTTATACATGGCCTGAACACCGTCCAGCTCTTGCTCCCTAGCCAGTCTCAGAGCCTCCTCCCCCTTCCTCGAGGCTTCACTCGACTGCCTCTCCTGTTCAAGGAACCCTCTCTCAGCCTGGAGGCTAACAATGTCCCGTTTCAACGTCTTCTCACGCATGAGAATGCTAGCCATGGCCATAGTTAGCTGCAACAAACACAAAACGTTAACAGGGGCATCGTGAGGTCTCCGAGAAGACATAACTTGAGAAGAAAATATTACCATTTTCAGTGATTCCTCCTCTGTCAAAGTTGCCGCAACCTCCTCGATGATGGGGCACTCGATCCTGTTGTCCCCAAAATGATATATGGCAGCGGCAACAGTATATGACGACGAACCGTCGGTGTCCTCGACGTTTTTCTTTTCGAGAGAGGCTTCAAGCGGCCTGAACCACTCCGGATGCCGCTCCGTCGCTGGACCTGCCTCGGGTACCAGGTCCTCGGGCATTGGAGCCCCCACTTCTTCAATAATGGGAGAGGTAACCTTCGATGGATCTTCTCCCCTTTCCACCTCGATCGGGACTTGCTCCTCGACCTACTTCTCTACCCCCTCAAGGGTAGGAGTCTTCTTCTTCTTAGCCTTGGCGCCTGCGTCGGACGCCTTCACAAGCCTTCTCAGCTTCCTCTTCTTGGTGACCTTGTTGGACAATCCCTCATCATCTGAACTTTTAATTTCAAAAATCTTGGCGTCACCAAACAACTCAACGGTATCTTTGCTTGATGACATGACCTAAAAACAAAAACAAAGCACATAACAAGTCAGTACCTTTTCTCTTCTCGACGCGAACCAGAGGAACGTAGTGTTGCACTTCCGTGTAGCCTAGGATGTCCTCGACAGATTCCAAGGAATCAATGTCCACCCTATACCTCTCAATTCTGGCCTTATCGTGTTTGGACCAGGCATCTGCCACACCGCCCATTTCATGAGCTTTCCGATAGTCCCAGGCCATACAAACATCGTCGGGAGCCAAAACAAACAAATAATTCGACTTCCACGATGGGGCACCGTCGAAGAGTTCTATTATGCATTTTGCCTTTGAGGAAACATTTGTCTTCACGTTATACCAATCCTTATATTTGGTCGAGGGTACACAGACCTTAAAAAAGTATCTCCATACCAACAATCGAGGAGCTACCCTCTTTATTTCACAGAGCCTCACAAAACCAAGGATAGCAGTGACTAGGTTTGGAGTAAATCGAGCAAGCGGGATCTTATAATACTGCACTAGCCTACCAAATAGAGGGTGGAGGGGGAACCGTAGTCCGAGAAACATCGACCTCTCGTACACAGTGATTTTCCCCTCTGGTAGAGTGTTAGCCCTCTCAGTACCTATGGGAGCTCGATATTCTAGATTTATGGGGAAGCTATATTTTTCAGCAATGGAATCAGCCTTTTCAACAGAGTTTATGGTCGATGCAAAATCGGAAACTGTTTGTGACGCCATATCTATCCTAGCATATGCAAGTCTAACCAGGTTCAGATAGAGCAAAATATATACACCAATGAACAGTGATGAGAATGCCCGGAAGTTAGAAGACTTACGTATGAGATAGCGCTTCCTAGGTGAAGTCTGTCGGATGGATTTTCAGACTCTGTTTGACGGCGGTATTTGGTGACAAAGAAATCTGGTGCACCGGAATAGAGAGTGTGGAACTTTCTAGGTGCAAGTTTGACAAGAGAGATATATGGCCAAAGTCCTTAGCTTTTCCCCCGGTTAAACAAATAGGAGGCGCCTTTTTCTCCCACGACCCGACACCGTGGCCGAAATCCAAGGCACACTCATAATTGCCCAGCCGTCGTTTGGGAAACGAGCGCGTTAATGGGGCTTAATTTCCGTTCGGGTGGGATTCAAAAAAACGGGTCACCTTCCCGGATCAGATCCTCACCCGCGGACAGTTACATTTGGACTGGGCTGAAGCTTATTTGTTTCATATGGGTTGGGCCAGGTCAGTTTTATTTCGATGTCAAGTCTTATTTATTTTGCATAATTAACACTTGACAGGGACACTTGACGAGTCCAGATCCATCACCTTCGACGGGCCGACCCACTACTTGGCTTTAGGGTCAAGACCGCCCCGGATATGGTGGTTTATTATTACTAACCCTAGTAATAATCAGATTCCTCCTAAGTCTATAAATAGGGACCTTTATTCCACACTAAAGGTACGCAATCTTAACTATCATATCAATACAGACATAACCCTATTTTCTGACTTAAGCTTCGGAGTGTATACGCTCGGGAAACGCCCGAGGCTCTGTTTTACAGGAAACCCTAGTCGGAGTTTCACCCTACACCGGCGATATAATTCCAGGTATCGTCAAAGGGCTGGCCCGTAGTTTGATTTTGGTTTAGGAATTTGTAATAATGGTTGATAGATTTGAAATGCAGGTTTTCTATATTTGGAATTATGAATAAGAATTGTAGTTATCATTTCATTCAAATCCATGTTGCAGGATTACATTTTCTCCCTCTCATTGGATTGATATTTCGTACCTGTGGCAGTGTGTAATACCAATGGGTAGACATTTGAGGTTGGTTTGCATGTAAATTTGAAAATTGCAATCGTTGATATGTGAATAATGCCGAATACTTTGGCTAACTGAAGCCTATACTAGAGATTGATGACCTGAACAGAAATTTCGATACTGTGTCCTATTTTAGGTACTTCAGAACTGAATCCTTTCTTAGAATCCAATTATTTTATGTTTCTACAAGACAGGAGTAATTGTTTGCTATTAAGGAACCTTTTTAAGAAGAATCTGCTGAATCAAAATGAATGTTTTCTTTGTCAGATTAAGACATTATTCTTCCAGTGTTCTGAGTAGTATTATTTACTGCAATTTTTTTTTTTTTGTCATGGGTAGTATTATCTTATAATTAAATATCAATTTGTTAAGCAGCCCGCCCCCATGGCTTTTGTCCGGGGTAGTACTTTCCAGTGTATATTGCTATTTTGTTTCAATGTGTCAAACAATCTCATTAGGCTTAACTATGAGGTTGAGTAGAATCCCTTTCTGAGGGTACATCTTATCTATAGGCTCAAAGTTTACATGGCAATGCAGGCTCGACTTTACAGGCAATTCAATCTAGCTGGAACAAGTTGCGACCATTGGAAGGGTTTTGATCGTTTTGGCAGTAATTCAGAAGAAATTGTTTGGACTGGTACACGAGTGTCATCTTTGTAAGTAGTCACTATACATATGCTTCTCAATTTTCCAGTTTCTCTGTACTTCCATCTTTTGTTTGCTGATTAAACCAATGCTTCCATTGCAGGACTTCACCATTATGTATTTTAATAAACACAGGGTAAATTTATTCTCTTCCTTTATTGCTAATTTCTTTAGTTGTGGTCAAAATCCTCCTCCCCATCATTTAAATGAAGGACATCAAACTCAAGGATGGAAGAATGCATACTTTGTTGTTCTTTGGAGGAGTATCACAGAAATCTTTGTTTATAAAGGTCCAAAGGAACCAATTTCTTTTAGGTTTTTTTGAAGTAAGTGATGTTTCATATTCATTTTATGCTGTTACTACTTCTTTTTGAGTTGATTGCTTGAGCTTTCTACTTTCAGTCAATCAGGTCTAGATTGGTAGATCAGGAAAAGGATAACTATTGTCACGGAGGATATGTACAATTTTATTGATGGCACTCTCAAGGCTCTTTGTTTCCTATTCTGAAGATGAATGTTTTTCCTATAAGGACAATTGAATTGAAATATTTCATACTTAGATAATATAAATCGAATGGAATTTGGCTGCTTGGCTGCTTGCTTGCTTTTTAATGCAATTTGGTTGCTTATACTTAGTTTTCCAGACTTGCTATTGAAGGCTTTTTAATGTATTTCACTCATTTAGCCAACCAGCTCTATATTCTTATATTGCTTAAGGTGAGCAAACTGGGTTTTGGGACAAATGACTGCAAAAGAAACTTTCTGAGATTTGGTTGACCGGATCGACCTTTAACGGGTGGGTTCTAGATCAGTTTTTTTTGTGAAGTATTTTCGTTGGTTGTGTAGATAAGCTCATTTGCAAGTCCTTCGTGCAAAATTTAAAGCGTTGCATGTTCTTTTCAGGGAAAAAAATTGAAAAGCTACAGAGAAAGAGAAAACCTTTGAGCCTATTTACATTAGACTCAAACGGTCATGTATTGCATGGTTAGTTGAGGCACAAGTCTATGGGGAACACAATGAAAATCTGTTTGGGCGCATATATGGTATGCAACCCCCTGACTCTGCTATCCCTACATCAGAAACTTGACATCTAAATTGCAAAATGATGACTAAACCAACCTGCCAACCATATCCAGAGGAAGAACTTCCACGGGGATTCAAATTGCACTTTCCAATGTAGATGGAACTGTACTAGAAATCAACTGTCTTAACCATAAACATAAGCATTTAGTCATGTAGCTTCTTCTTATTAAATAGACATAATCTAATTAGCATGTTACATGTTTTCCTTCATTAATTTTTTGCCGGACTCTTATTTTACGTTCATCACTCCTATATTGTCTTCATGTTCTTCTTCCTCCTTCCCATGTTTGTATTAGTTCTAATTTCTGTTTGTTGATGTAATTTCACGAGTTAAGTTCATTGTGATTTTCTGTTTATATAAAAACTTGGTGGTGTTGTTTTTTATGAGGTGGTGACAAAATGACAAGATACGACCACCTTTATGATTAAATGAGGTTTTTTCTCTTGCGAGCATACACTGTATGTATTTTATGTGAATTACGATTTGCTTTTTTAATTAACAAATGTAAAACACAGACGGTCCGGGTAAAATTAAATGAGCCTTTTTCCCTGGCAAGCATACAGATACAGTATATGTATTTTATGTAAATTACGATTTTCTTTTTAATTAAAAAATTTAAATCACACCTGCCCCCGGACTTTTGCTCGGGCAAATATCTAGTTTATAGTAAAAGCGGAATAAAAGTGAAAGAAAATTTTTTATTAGAGGTGAGATCCACAAGTATTAGAAACGGAGATCAAATTTTTTTATTTTAAATTTTATTTTGAATTTTTTAAATTTTGAAAAAAATATCTTACTTAATCATGAATCAATATAATATTTTTAATTTATTTTAATCCAAATTTGTTTTCTATATTTTTGAAAAATGGAAATAAAGCATCGCTGAAATTACCCTACTGACTTGATCAAAAAATAATCAACCTGAAAATCCCCAAAAATAAAGTGCCAACAAAAAAGTAAAAAAAGACCAAATTTGTAAAGCACAAATATAATTGACCAAATCAATGGATTGTCAATGTTAAGAATTAAATTACGTTTTTTTAAAATGTAAAGTATCATTTAAGCGGATTATTCCTACCAGAAAGACACCACCATCAACTAGGGCTTGTTTGCTTAACACTTATTTTACATTTTTGTCTCATTTACCTCTTAAAACACCTCTCAGACACAAATTCCAATACTATCCAAACAATTTTTTAATTTACCTTTTAAAAAATATTTTAAAAATTATTTTTACACAATTTTCATCCACCACCACCGGACCACCTCCACCACCACCCGCTGCTGCCGCTGGACCATCGCTGGCCGATCGGTCGCCGTTTGGACCGACCGGACCACCTCCACCACCACCCGCTGCTGCCGCTGGACCATCGCTGGCCGACCGGTCGCCGACTGGCAACGGTCCGGCGGCGGCAGTAGAGGTGGTCCGATAGTGTCTAAAAATATTATTAGTTTATTTAATATATCACCCAAACAACTTTTCAAATTTTATCTCAAACCAAATTTTAAATCACATCTCAAACCCAAATCAAAAACCAAAACAAAAACTGAAACAAAATGTTGGCCACACAAGCCCTAGATTTTATGTCATTCCGGAACAATGTTTGACCAGGATTTATCCGTATTCGAGATTGTTCTCTTCATTGGATTCATACTGCATTAACAAAAGAGTTACCAACATTACATATTTTTCCTCCTAAGTTCTCCCAAAATGATTGCTTCTTCTGTTAGGAGATATGGAGATAGACGAGTTTGGTAAAACCTTCGACTGGAGATCTATTCTTAAACTCCTAATGAATACTATTATCAAAGCAAAAGAGATAACAGAGAGGTTTTGCAGAATGTTCTTCAATTCTTTCTCCTGTATAAGTTGAATAACTCCTTTGCCTTGATGAATTCAAAGGTACAAACCTCTCCAACGGTTAATCCATTTTCTTGGACAAGTCGTCTCCAACCAAGACCAGAAATCCATGCCCTGTTTCCCTGAACACGAAACAGAACTACCCATGTTTTTCCAGTCTCAGGTACACCAACCTTAAAATCCTCTCTACAACTCCTACCAAAGTTGTTGTTGCGAAATTCGCGCGGGAATTCCTTCAACATTACACAAAGCACATCGGTAAGTAATCGAAATTAACAATGCTTAAACATGTATTACAATGAACAAAAACAATGAAAGAATCGAATGTGACAGCTTACAAAAAAGTATGGACGAAAAACATGAGCCCGTCCAACTACGAAATCAAATGAAGGATGCTCAGATTTCAAAGCCCTTTGATCATCTGAGATCTGGGATTTCGATGTTCCTCTGTAACTCCCATCTAAATGAAGAACAAGTTAATGGGTTAAACTTAAAACATCAAAATAAACGAAATTACTATGGGAAGTTATAGTTTTTAATGATGTAATAAGAGGATTGCTTACTCATGTTGACCCTTTGTCTTAAACGGCGCCGCCCATTCACTGAAGAGTATGACCATCCACCATTTGGCTTCTTCCCATCTTCATCAATCTCTCTGTTCTTCTTCTTCTTCTTTCCTCTGTTTCCGAATTTTTTGATGACATAATTGTTGTCATCATCACTTACTTCGACATGTTCGACATGGACAGAGTAATCTATTTCGGAAGTTGTTTTGTCACATATTAGGACACTGAATCGAGATTTGCCTTCATATCTGAAAACCAAGACATGGTTCAACTCTATGGAATAAAACTCTCCAAATTCTTGCAGCCCTTTTCGCATCCAAGTCTCGCCGTTAACCCTGTGCAATTCTACCCGCCATTCAGCTCCAGTTGGAACTTTCAAAACCACAACTTTCCCCAAGCTATCACCATATCTTTCCATAAACGCGGTCGGAAATGGCTGCAAATTAATAGAAAGAAGACATCAGCAAGTTTTATTGTTATAGCCATAATGTTGTAATAACAGGGTTAATAAACTTACTATGCCTTGATTGAGAGGTCGAACAATGGGTCTGAAGAAATGAGATGAGGACAGCTCAGATTTCTCAGTGGTTGATGCAGCCATGATTCTATGATCTCTAGTCTTCAAAAGGGACAAAAGATATATTCGATTCTTCGTCAAGACTTTTCAACAATACCATTCTTGTGAACTTGGCTGTTGAAAGCTGTAATTAATATCATTAAAAGGCACGGTATACAAAGGAGGAAAGAGTTGATTTGACAATTGTTTCTGCCGGCGGCGACACAGCTACTATTGTCATCATGACACACAGCGAAGAGAACAGAGTGCAATAGTGCATTATTGCTAGTGAAAGTCTTTGGAGTAATTATTACTCTTCATGACATCAAAACGAAATAGGCTGATAATAATAATCATGTCAATAGAAGGATTGGGTTATGGAATTGTTAACCATTCGACCGGAGACTAACTTAAATTTATTGATTAAAAACACGATGTAATAACTATCATTTCTTATCCACACAATATCAATACAATTATTTTGTTTTCAACCAAAAATGTTAGCTATACAATATAAACCAATTTTGAGTTACAATAAATTACTTAAGGAGGTCTTCTGAGTTAATGTTTCTTTTTTCATTTCAGAGATATAAAAAAAAAAAAATTAGTTCCTTAACAATAATTCTTCCCTTTATATAGTTTTTTTTGATAATTAGTAGCATTTCATTACTAATTCATAAAAAAAAAAAAAAAACCAAACAAAATGCGTCGCATGCAAAAGGTAGTTATTTTCCTTACACCATGCCCGACGATGACCATGATCAATATCTTTTACAGTTTTCTGTATTTATCATTTCTCGATTTAATACTAACAATATCGACACAGTTGCCAAGACTTCTCCAAATCAAATACATCAACAAATTCCATAAAGATTAGAAAATCCATATTGCATACAAGCTTATAACTAAGACAATATTCCAACAATTTCATATACATTCAATACAGAACAGAATTCCGTGATCATGAAATAATTTTTCAAAGTCATTCATCAATGATCGATTCTGCAGTCTAAGTCAGCTACATAGTAACAGATGATCAATTAATTCATCACACAACTTGTGTAGCACCGGTGGACGTTTTCGGGTGCGACGTGTCATCGGAATAAAACCCATGTTTCGTTATATCAAACTTCTCCCCGTCGCCCCACAAAGCATAAGCCTCTTCTCCGTGGACGGCGTCGTCTCCGATCGTCAACATTTCCTCCGACATCCGTAACGGCATCACCAGACTGATCAAGAAACAGATTATTGACGTGACAACGAGGTTCCACCCGATGATGAAACCGCCGCCGACGATTTGTTTAAAGAACTGAACGCCGCCGGAACCCCCGTAAACGCCACCCCTGGAGTTGGTGACGGGTAGGAAAAGGTTACAAAGTTCCGGCTCGCCTAGGAGTCCGGTGAGGATGCCGCCGAGAAAGCCGGCCACGGCGTGTGTGTGGAAGACACCGAGGGTGTCGTCGATTTTCTGGAGTAAGGTCCAACGTTTGTGAACGATCATCATGGTGAACCATGGAATACTGCCTGAAAGAATTCCCATCACTATGGCGGCCCATCCTTGAACAAGACCTATGATATATGTTCATCATCACTTAATTAGATCACGATTTTAAATGGTATTACTATTAATCTTCACATCCCAGAAATATAGTTTAAAAGAAAAATTCATAAATACGTAAGGGTTTGTTTGTTTCCTTTAGTATATATTTTTAGGTGTTTTTTTAATTAAGAATATAAAATGATGTATTGAAAATATAAAAAGTTATGCTGGGATGAGACAATTATTAATTTTAAATTTTGAAAAAACCAAAAAAAAAAAAAGAAAACAAAAATTTTCGTGGAATAATGTAAATCACTCATCATTGAGAAACATTCAATTTTGACATCTTCGGGCAACTACTCCAAAATAGTCCCTATGAATAGTACAACTATCAAAATTTGATATAGACTATTTTATGGACAGAATGAGTACATAACTTAAAAAACTTAACCTATAGTAATTTATAAAACAAAGATAAAATTCATTTTTAAAACATTTATTTTTTGCTTTTTTATTCTATCTGTCTAAAAAATAATCTACATTAAATTTTGTGTGGATTATTTTTTTAGAGACAGAGATAATATGATTTATGTAGTTCTAGTTCATTGATAATATATTGATCAAGAAACTCACACGGTGCATGAAAATATCTATTGTCACAAGTTTGGTATATTAATTAACGTATTCTAGCAGTGAAACGGGATTGTGACAGATTGATATAATCTATTGAGATCGATATGTATGTAAAAAGAAAGACAAATGCACCTGCGCCGGGAGTGATACAGACGAGGCCGGTGATCATGCCCTGAACGGCGCCGATGACGGAGGGTTTGTTGAAGAAAATGACGTCGAGCCAAGTCCAGACTAAGAGGCTCGTGGCTGCACAAATGTTGGTGTTGAGGACAGCCATGGATGAGTCAATGTTAGCACTGTATGGGTCTCCACCGTTGAAACCTGCCCAACCCATCCACAGTAACCCTGCCCCAGCCAGCATCAAGAGTACATTGTTCGGTGGAAATCTCTCCCTATCATTCTTTGATCTTGGTCCAACCTAAAACAATTCTTTTTGTCACAACTCCGTCTTAGTCGATTATTATTATCCACCCAATTCAAATTCAAATTAGTTCGGTCAAATAATGCAGAACACCATCTACTAATTTAAATTTTACTACTTCGGTCTTAATAAGGATATATAAACGACGCTAAGTTTTCATATTTTTACTAAATATAGTACAAATCTGAAAAATTTAATGTTAAACTTTTTTTTTTATTGCGGAGGGAGTATATGAATATTTGCTTCATTAGCAAGGGCATGCCATGATCTCTTTTTTCTTTTTTATAAGTATTTTTTCAACGTTCGTGCCAGGAAAGTCGTTCTTGGTAAATAATAATCACTTTTGCAAAGAAGGGAAAAAAGAAGAAATAACTATTCTAGGAAAAGGGAACAAATTCAAAGTAGGAAAAAGAGAAATTTACCCAAATAACCAAACATCAATCATGTAGCGTCCAAAACAAACCGTTTAGTTGTCAAGTACTCAAAGTTGGCTGAAACTTCTGAATTTTTGATATTGAATTTGGCATGCATGATTTGGAACATCATGTAATGTAGGGTATTAAAAAGCATGAAAAATGGAACATTATAGGCATATTTTCTAAACCAACAGATTGTTTTATGATTTATCTCTTTCATTATACTAACAAAATAAAGAAATAATGTTGTAATGTATCTCAGAATCTTATAAACTACTCCTGTCCAAAACGTAAAAATCTAGTTTTAGTGCAAATCTCAAATTGAATTTTGGAAGTTATACTAGTTTTAGTGCAAATCTCAAATTGAAATATGATTTTTTTTTGGACAAAATATTTAATTTATTCTTATGTAATTGCAAACTGTGACACTTCCAGAAGGGAAGGGTCTCAAGTTTTAGTTTTAATTTCCTGATCTATGAAGTGCAAAGACTATCTCAATGTAAGAAACTTTAGGAGCTGCAAGCAATCAATTTCGCTAAATAATTGTGTGATACAGTTTGGAAAAAATAAAAAGATCAAAAATAGAATTCGGTCTGCCATGATTGAATTATATTAAAACAGTTTTGAAACCGATAGAGTAAGAAATGGCAAAACGAAATTATTTTTTTCAGACATCGTAGTGATGCATGGTCAAAAAATTTCCCTCAGTGTCCAAAATTCCCTAATTTCCACACACGGGCACACACACTCAAAATGAAGTAAAGAATTTTCTGTGTTTACTTCTTTCTTTTCTCCCTTCCTTGTGTGTTTTTTATTTTCGTCGTCCTGATTCATACAATTTTCTGTATGCATAATACTAAAACATAGGGGAACACAGGACAGCGAAAAGTAAATGCTTTCATACAGCTGATTGATGACAATGAAATTCTGGAAATAATAAACATATATATAGTGATCCTAGGTACTAGCTAGTCCTTCTCATTGGACTTATGTAGTACATTTTCAATATTCGAAAACAAATTATATATTTAGCCAATAAGAATTTTTAGAACTACCGGAATCAGCCTCTTAAGAACACAAAAATTTTTTTTTTTTTTAACGAATAAGCGGTTAGTAAGAGAATAAATTTTATTTTTTTTGTCCATTTCGTTAATTGAAACATTACATCTCAGTTCATTGTAAAAACTCACTGATTGTATCATCATTTCACTTTATGCGTATTGATTTTCTTACTACACATGCTAAAACATGGTCAACGAATTTGGAGCGAGGCACAAATTAATCATTGTAAAAATATTTTGTCAAGAGAAAAAAAAAACACGGAACTCAGGTAAAGTAGCACTCTAAAGTTTACCTCCATGTGAACTTTTATGTGCTAGTGCACAAGATTCATTGGAGCTCAGCCAACCTCTCTGAAATTTTAAGAACCATTATTTGACACAAAAAGTACTAGCTAATTGACTTCAATCATAATGTTTTTCTTAATTTCTTCTTCTTCTTTTTCTTTTTTGGTCCAAAATTCAATGATTTTATTTTATTTTTATTTTTATTTTGGTTCATGAATAAAAACTAAAAAAATACATTTCTCCAGCTGTTGATGTTCGTTATGTGTGACAGTGATTAAGATTGATTCTGGGAATGTATTTGGAAGGTGCATTACATGAATGAATCTGATCCAGAATATTCATTAATAAACGTTGAATCTTATAAATGATTAAATCAAGACATCAGATAGTTTAGAATTAGTAAAGAAGTTGATGGCATCCCAAAACTTAGTATATCTTATATAAATAATTCCTGTTACCGACCGGCAAGGTAACTGCTTTCCCGTCGGAGCTCCATTGCCTAATTTCAAACTCGTCCCAAACATGAAGGGTCTTTTCTTTCTCTTTGTGTTTATCTAATAATTAATTATTCTTTGTGTCTCATTTTAATAATTTATTTGTATTATTTGGCTTAACATGCATGGTGAAAATTTAAAATATGATGGTGAGAATATTATATATTATGCGAAGAGGAAACTCAATATGAATGACTGAGTAGGTATATTTCTTGACTTAGATAAAGCAATAATAACCAAACAATATGCTTTCAATTATTTCCTCAATCAACAGTCAACACTAACATTCATCGCCATAGCAAAATGATGAAAACCTCACAAAAGCCTTCATTGAGTTTTGGTTATAAATCAAGCTATTTTTTCTTTCACAACGACAATTGAAAATTTCCAATTAACGTGTTTATATAAACTTCTATATACATACATTACCAAATTTTGTAGCGTCTCTAGCAATTTTGTTGAGTTTACAGTTAGTTTTTAAATTTTGGATAAGAGCTCGACATGTGAGATATCTCTCGTCTGTACAACCTTAACAAGATAAAAAGTTTGTCACATGTACGCATGGAATCCTATTGCTTAGTCGGATATCCGAAGATTCTATTGTATCTAGCTCCAATTATAAAGGATAATAATTTGTATTGGGAAAAAATGACAAGAAATTGATTATAACCATTCATTTTTAACACTTTCCATTTTGGTATGTATCATTACCCTATTATAAATTAGTACTCCCCCGGCCTTTATTATAAAGTATTTTGATTTGTCCGAAATTTTACCTAGTATCATTTTCTCGATTAAAAAGAGAACATTAAAAATGTATTTTCGTATTTATTGTGTTTCCCTAATTATTAAGAAATAGTTTAATTTTTTTCAATTGAAAAACATATTAAGTAAAATTTAGGACAAATTAAAATAGTTTATTATGATTAATAAGGACTAGAGGGAGTAGTATTTATGAAAAACTGATTGTCTTTTCTAATGCATAAACAAAGAAACACAAAGATAGCCAGGGGCGGAACCAGTAAGGGGCTTGGGGGGTCACAAGCCCTCCCGCCCCGCCGAAGGAAGGCATGGTTGCCTTTAGTCGGAGCCCTTGGTTCTTATATTTTCTTCTCTCAGCGCCCCCTCCCCCTAGATCTGAGAATTTGAGGGCTAAATGATGTCCAAATCTCAGAGTTTCTGTGGTATAGTTATTATTTTTATAGTTAATTGTAGTCAGCGGCGGCGGCGAGTTGCAGCGGTAACGCAGGGAAGAAGATGATGATTTCAATCTTTTAGAAATTTAAGGATTGGACACCAAGTTTAACTATATAATAGATTATGTCTCTGTCACTTAAAATTTTATCAATTTGATATAGTTTTTGCCCTTCAACTTTTTAAAGTTATAAAATTGATCTTAGACTTAAGTATTTTGTGCATTAAGGACCAGGAGAATTCAACGAACTTATAAAAATTTTCTTATAATAATTAATTAAAATGATTTTAAGAGATATACCATTTCAAAAAAAAAAAAAAAACTTTAAGAGATATTATAGCTTGTTTCAAATGAGCCTTAAGTATTTCTTTTATAAATAACCTTGATTTTACACCAATATTTCAACAAATAATGTACAAATTATTTAATAAATTTAGATAAATTTAAAGTATTTTATATATTTAATAAAGGAATTTTTTTTTTCTTTGTCTATAGTCCAATAGACATCCAGCCCTCCAAATACTAAAAGTTGGTTCCGCCACTTATGACAGCGAAGTAAAGTCTTTTATAATGATTGATGAAACTCTGGAAAATAATAAATAAGCATACCGACTTCTTAGCTAATCCTTTTCATTGACTTGCGACGACTTATGGAAACTTCCAAATGTTCAAATGTGTTCGATTTCATATTCGTATTAATTAAAATTAGACCACCTAACCATTACACACTGTTGTGAAAACTTATCAGTAATATTTTTTTAGTACAGTAAAACGGGGCAATAACTTTTCATGCACATCCCATATACACAATTTTATCTTAAAAGAGATCCGATATTTGGACTTTTAAAAGATTGACTTATCAACAGATTAGAATCAATTTCCCACGACGTAATTTTTTTAGAGTATATTTTTAGTGATATTATGACACTAGTCGTATGAAGAGCTTAGAATGTAACGGTAAAAAAAAAAAAAAAACTCAGTAATTACCTAGTCTAAAAATGTTCATGGTAATACTTCCAAAGAAAAAAAAAATGCGGCCAACAAATTTGGACCGAGGCACAAATTTTGTCAAAATAAAAACAGTAACATGGAAACAAAGTAGCAATCGAAAAAGAAAAATATTGCAATAATTATTCTTTATGCTAGTGCACGAGATTTATTTGAGCTCTCAGCTACACATCTCTTAAACTTTAAGAAGCGTTAGTTTGACCCGACAGACTCAAGCCAATTAGTTGATATATTTAAATTTCTTTTTCAGGGGAAACAATTAGGGGTATACATCAACGGAATAATGGAGTAAATATTAAAGGTTATACTCCCTCCGTTCGAAATTATTATCTGGTTTAGATTTTTTTATTTTTAGTGCAAATTGAACTAAAAGTGAAAATACAAATTAGACAATAATTTTAGGATATAATGAGTAATAAATTTCACATAAACAAAAATTATGACCCAATAATTTAGACAGGTAACTGAACGTTTAAATCACCGAACGACTATTTTTCTCTTTTTGGTACTCAAACAAATCTTTTGAGGAGAATCCTTCATTTTATAGTCTTAGATTTTTATTATTAGTTTTAAAATTAAACTATCTATACCATTGCGGAGTACTACTTGCTTAATCGTACGTACCAATAAGAACATTGCAGCATTTAACAAGGATGGTTGCCGCACATGAAGAATGATCATTCCTCATTTCCTTGTCCTTTAGTGGGATTTTTGCTATTTAAGTAAAATTATACTCTTCTCCCGCCTCATCAGCGGAATAATGCTGTAGATATTGTTTTATTATAATTTATACTTTATATTAAACTCTTTTTGTAAGACGAAAGAGTGGTATTTGCCTCCATTCCTCTCCTTTTTTAGTGCTCCCGAAGAGGTTTTTTTTATTAAGGTTTTGTTCATTCATTTTGAATGAATCTGGTTTTTTTATTAAGGTTTTGTTCAATCATTTTGAATGAATCTTTTCTAGAAGCCTAGCAAACTTTTGTAAAAAGTTTGAAATGCTGGTTTAGAAGAGGAAATAATTGAGAGTATATTCTTTGGGTATGGGCGTACGAAGAAAAGTCAAATATTCCGTCACCTGATTCACATCATGAGTGCTCTCAACTCTAAAGTGAGTAAAGTCTTAAGACTTTAAACAAAATATATATAAAATTGAATAAAAACAAAAGACCCGCAAATATTGGTATGATAGTTTGAAGTTATGAATTCAACGATGAGGAAATTGAGCTTCAACAAAGAAGCATTGTTCTCCTAATAATTATACCCTCCATATAGAAATTCTGCCGGCCGGAAACGAATTACTATTTATTTATACGTTTTAAATATTAAGATTCCATCACCGTTGTTGATGATTCATTGCTTGATTCCTTATTTATATTATTAATGTAAATGAAGATTCTGGAACATTATATCATGCACCTTCCAAAAACACTATATTAATTACAATCTACTTACTGATCAAAGACAGAAATCTTTTTCTTTAGGATACTTAAACTTTGACAGCGACAATAAATATTCCTTCGACGCGTTCAAATAGCACAAAAAAATGTCAGCCCTAGTTTTTTATTTTTTTTTCCTCCATATTTCACTAACTATCCTTGTTATGAAATCAAAGAAACGGGAACAAAATAAAAGCGCGGAGCATCAAATTTTAACCAGTGTAATATATAAGTCCTCCCAAAATTAAAATCATGTTTATCGAATAAAAACAAACAAATTAAGGCTCACACTCTTATTTTTTGGACCAAGATTAATTTGTTAGGGAAGTCAAGTCAATTGGAGGGAGATGGGTGGTAATAAACTAGTAAAATGTCTCCTTCGCATTTTGGCCAAGAAAAAAAAAAATAAAGTCTCCTTCGCAATATCTTTATTCTCTAGTACTGTAACGTAATCTATTGAAACATCTCCAAGGTTTTTCTTTTTCTTTTCTTTTAATAAAAAGAAAGAGTTTCAAATATGTACACCAAACAACTATTAGAGTTGTTCAATGTTATCGCAAATTATTTCCACCAAAAAAAAAGAAATCAAATAAATAAGCGGGGAAAGAATTCAAAAGTGGTAAAATGGGAAAAAAAGAAAACTAACCCAATAAGCAGCAGTAATTCCGGCAATCCCAGAAGAAAGATGGATGACATATCCGCCGGAATAATCAATAACACCCCACTGGAACAAAAAACCACCGCCCCACAGGCTAAAAGCTCCGACGGTGTAAGAAAACGTCAGCCAAAGCGGCACAAACGTCATCCAAGCCTTAATATTCATCCTCCCCAAAACCGATCCAGCCAGCAGGATCAGCGTAATCGCCGCAAAAACGCACTGGAACCACACCATCGACGCCATCGGATAGTACGGCGCCGCCGCCGGAGTCTCCAGGCTGCCGTCCGCGTGGTTGTGGATCGTCGCCGGAAGTAATGCCTGTTTGATCAGGAACTTCTGGCCCAACGCCGGCCCGGCCTTGCCCCAAAAGGGCAAGAGCTTTTCGCCGAATGACATCTTGTAGGCCCAAGTCACCCAGCATAGGACGACGGCGGCGAAGGCGTAGAAGGCCATGAAGGCCGAGTTGACTGCCCATTTCTTCTTGACTATGCTGCCGTACAGGATGACCAGGCCCGGCACGCTCTGCAGGCCCACCAGCGTCGCCGATATCATTTGCCATGCGTTGTCTCCTTTGTTCAGCCAGTCCGGCACGGCCGCCGACGTGTTTGCTTGGTACGCCACCGGAACCACCGTCGCAGCCGCCGCCATGGTCTGAAGGAGCTTCGCTTTGACTTTTTCTTTTGTGTGTGTAAGGAGAAAATTTACTAATGCTCAAAGTTTGGAGGAAATGTGTGTTAATTAAGGTTTATGTTAGTTAGTGTTGTCACATGAATTTATATAAAAAGTTGCTTTCTACCCAATCTGATGTGGATGAGTGAGTACAGTAATTTCGGGTATTATACGGAGTATAAAATATTCAGAAATTACGTTCGTATATGTCATTTTTTTATGACTCTTTTACAAAATTCTTTCAACATCAAAAAGGTGTCCTTTTCCCAACAAGAATTGAGATAATCTAAATACAACGAACCAAAATTCTTCCCAATTATGTAAAGTTTTTATCATTCTCAAGCCACACGTACGTTAATTTACTACTCCCTCCCGTCCTTATTATAAGCTATTTTGATTTCGTCCTAGGTTTGATCTAGAATGATTTTTTAATTGAAAAAATCTTTAAAATATATTTTCACATTCTTTGTGTTCTTTTAAATATTATGAAATGTTTTTAAGGTTTTTGTTTTAATTATAAAGACATCTTATTTGAAACTTAAGATGAAATCAAAATGTCTTATAATAAGGACCAGAGGGAGTAATTTGTTTCATCATCTTCGTCCTACTCAATCGATCATCATCTAGCACACGATGAACAAAGAGCACAAATTTCTCTAGCTAGATATTTGAATTCTAGTTCTTATTCTTTCCTATACTTTATGAATAAAGTTGATACTTTTAACGAAATTCGAACTGATTGAGCCATCCCGTTTATTACAGTAGATTCCACAATAAGCAATTCAATTAGATTAGAGTTTAGTTTTTCATTTCTAAGGTTAGGATCTAACTGATATATTTCCTATCCTCACAAAAATAGACTAAATTATAATTGTGAATTATATAAAAATACAGTACACTCATAAGAGTATGAAATATCTGTCTGTGATGGATAGAGTATAATTTATAAAACCTTAGATCCTAACATATTTAAAACATTTCAAGTCTAACCTAATAATTTAATTTTAATTGTTTTAATTACTAGGTATTAATCCTAGAGGAGAGTACTCTATAAATTCTGGTTTGTTATGACCATAATGCATTGAGAAAAACATATTCTCAATCCCTAACATTCCCTCCACCAACCAATATAGTTAAGTTGTAAAATAGGATGTAAATTAATTGCATTATTACAGACCCTCCCCCAAAAAAAAAAAGGGTTGACTGAGCATCGAAAAGAAGTGTGCGTATCGGTTTTTGTCTGCTTAGGCGATTCATATATAATTCCTCCTTCAATTGATTAATACCATTTCAAGCATTATTTTTCAGTTTTTTTTTAGTAACCTGACGAAAGTCCCAACTGAAGTTGGATAATATTCCCCCCACAATGAACTAATATTGATGATATCCTGTAAGCCCTAGAATAATTGACATAAATGAACAATGACCATATTCATACCGATCGCCACATGTTTCATTGTTTGATTACTTGAGTGTCAGTTGTCTGCTTTGCATAAGCAAATTACCAATTTTGTTAGCCTTTTCTAATCAAGGGGAAAGAAAGAAAGAAACCAAACATATTCGTGAACCCAGCTGTGAAAACATATAAAGTGGTCAGTTGTTTCAAATACTTACCAAACAAGTTAACTAGGCAAGGTCGAAACATAACCAGAATGATTTCTAAATATTATAATCCCCTAGGTACCTTCTTTACTGTCTTTGCAAAAGAACAAATAAATAAAAATTGTACCTGAATAGTATTTGATACTTCATTGTTTTTTGTAATAAGTACAACATAATCATGCATATACAATAGAAAATATTTGTTCAGTTGATTACTTATAAAGATAATCATAGCGTATACCTGGATAGCTACTTTAGCAACGACTCTTTTCTTAGTTTTGTGTTTTAATGTTTTGGAAAGTATTTTTATTGATATCTTATTTTCAATTGTTACATAAATATGTATACTTATTTGATCGGGTTTTTTTTTGTTCCCTTTACCCTAACACACAATTTTTTATGGTACAATTTTGAGTATATGTTTTGCAATATCCTTTACAAATGATTTTTTTTTTGAATGCGAGAGAAAAAAAAAAGGAAGAAAAAAGCTCATTTCTTGAACTCTTTGTATGTCTGTATCAATTCGAGTTATCTTATCATATTTATTAATTTATATGTTTCTTTCTTATACAGAAGAGACATCAGTGAGGGATTCAAGGGGGTCAGGGTGGTCGATGGAACCTCCGACTGGCCGGATTTGGCCAAATTTTTTCTTAGTAGGGTGTCCGTTATTTGAAATTTTTTTAGTTCGACCCTCTGGTGACGGTTGAATAATTCTATTTTTGACCCCGCAATTTGAAAATTCTCGTTTCGTCACTGAGAGACATGCCATAAATTTTAAAAAAATAATGATAGTAGGAATTGTATCTTTACGTGTTATTATCAGAACAATATTGAACACCGCTAGTTCTTATTTGGTTTGGTTGTCGTGCTCAGCTCTTTTGTCAACGATAAGTAATAGGGACATTTTTTTTTCATCATTCAAGAGACGTTTTCGTAATATACTCCCTCTGTCCACATTAGTTTCGACGTTGGCACTAAAAATTATGTAAATATCAACATTTTTGGGCACAAAAAGTACAATACAAAATAAGATGTAACTAATGCTGGGAATATATTGTTTATCCTCTATAATTAATACATTTTCTATACTCTTAAAAACAAACACTCCGTTTTTTGTTGAACTAAAATAGTACCACAAAATAAATCAGAAAAAATTATAATTGTGCGTGGGTACATTAATTATACGTTCACACTTGTATTCAAAACTACTACAATAATACTAATAACACTAGTAGTCATTATATTCCTTTAGTACCGAAAAAATCATTGGGTTTCTGAAATGTTTTTAGTAGAGAGGGTAATCAACATCATGGTATGTAAGAATCTTCCTGGATCCAAAAGTCAGCGGGTAGGGTTGCTTGCTGATCATGAATTCGATTAATTGCAAAGTTACAGATTAGAGAGATGTTCATGATGTGATGCCGTGCATGTTTAAGCAAAAACATGAAAATTTCTTCCTCTGTTTCCTTAATTTTGTATCCAGCTCATTGAGGGACATCATTCCAATTGTTGAGCTATTCTTTTTTTTTTTTTTTTTGAGAAACAATTCTTTTCATTTCAGGCAAAGATACATTATCCAGAAACGTACGTATGGAGGCACACTTTTGCTAATCTATGTGTGCCTTCTGCTATGTCTCTACCTACCTCAATAACATCACAATTTTGAAAACGAACCATAAAAGATTTAATATCCTCTACTTGTGAAGTTAGATGTAACGGACACGTCTTCCTTCCTTTGATATATTCCACCAGGTTCTGACTGTCGGTCTGAATTTGACAACCATGAAAATCCGTTGACAATGCTGCCTTAAGTCCCATCAAGCATGCCCTGTTAGCAAAAGAACCCTTTGGGTTATAAGGAAGAGATCTTTTAAGTGATAGGTTTAGGAAGTGAAAATGGAAGAGAAGGAAATTTTGGGAGAAAGGGAGCTTTACTACTTTGTAGTAAAAGGAAACAAGGTGGAGTGTGTTAAGCTTTTAGTTTAAGGTTTCTCACAACTCTCTACACATACATACATTAGGGGGTTAACTGCTATTTATAGGAGTGCATGGAAGGTTCTACACTCTTTCAAGATGTTTCTACTCCTTCTAAATATCTACATATTTTATTCTAATATCTAGACTTTTCCTTACTAATACCTAGATATTTCTTCTAGATATTTTCCATGAATTATTCTACATACCCTTGATATCTATGTAGAACATTTCTAGAACTTTCTACTTCTAGATATCTTCTTATCTAGACAATTCTTCATTGGACTTGGGCTTAGGATTAAACATAAAGATTCATGGTCCAAGTTAATAATTTTGGATAACCCAATATTAATTGGACCAAATTAAGTTTACTTACTAACACCCCCCCTTTAAACTTGATTTGGTGACTCCAAGCATCATCCTCAATCTTGCAAAGTCTTCTCCTTTGAGTGGTTTGGTGAAAATATCTGCAACTTGATCACGTGATCTTGTATGCTTCAACTCAACGATCCTCTTGGCCACACATTCCCTTATGAAGTGGTACCTTGTATCAATATGCTTGCTTCGATCATGGTAGACTGGATTCTTTGCCAGATCGATGGCTGACTTGTTGTCAACATATATCTCTGTCGCCTCTCCTTGTGGCATACTTAACTCCTTCAACATGCTCCTAAGCCAGATAGCATGACATACACATGATACTGCTGCTACGTACTCGGCCTCGCATGATGACAAGGTGACTATAGGTTGTTTCTTAGAAACCCATGTAAAGGCAGTGTTGCCAAGGAAGAATGCGAATCCAGTAGTACTTTTCCGTTCGCTCAAGTCTCCAGACCAGTCACTATCACTGAATCCCACAAGCTTGAAGTCATCACATAAGGAATATAACAAGCCAAGATCAATAGTACCTTTGATGTAGCGAAGTATCCTCTTGGCAGCCTTCAAGTGTGTCGTAGTAGGTGCTTCCATAAATCGACTGATAAGTCCCACAGCAAAGAGAATATCAGGCCTTGTGCATATTAAATAACGTAGGCTTCCAACAAGGCTCTTGAAGTGAGTTGGATCTACAACATCTCCTTCATCATCTTTTGAGAGCTTTGCTCCATATTCAATGGGGGTGGCTATTGGCTTGCACTTCTCCATGCCAAATTTCTTAAGAACTTCCTTAGCGTATCTTTGTTGAGAGATGAAGATTCCATCATCCAATTGCTTGACCTCGATGCCAAGATAATAGGACATAAGTCCTATATCAGTCATCTCAAACTCTTTAGTCATTGCCTTCTTGAAATCTTTGATCATGCTAGGCGAATTTCCTGTGAAGATGAGATCATCCACGTACAAACAAACAAGCAACATATCTCTATTGCCTGAAAACTTCACATAGAGTGCATGTTCACTTGGACATTTCTTGAAACCATTTTCCTGAAAATAGTGATCAATTCTTGTATTCCAGGCTCTTGGTGCTTGTTTCAAACCATATAAAGCCTTCCTTAGCCTGAGAACTTTATTCTCATCGCCTTTGACCACATATCCTTCTGGCTGCTCCACAT